TATTATCCTTATAAAATGTGGAAAGAACGATATCCACATTCCACAGATCCGATCATATATGAATAGGGAATTGTTTAATTAAAGTATGAGTCTAAGAGAATAATTTTGGAGTAAAATGCATTTTTCGTCATAAAGTCTGTTTTTGGGACCCTTTTACTCATCATTTCTGGAATATTTCAAGCTTATCGAAGACCCACTTTCCTCTTTTTGTCTGGAAGTAGTTGTTGACTACACACAAAGAGACAGTAGAAAAAGTAAAGGGTCTTCCAGTTATTTTACATTATTGGGTGCAAAATAATATGAGTTTTATAAGAGTTATGTTGTAGGAAAAGTGATTGTGTAATGTTATAGAGATTTGTTTTACGTGTCTTAACTTTTTATTTATTTTTTTGTTTTAAAAAGTGTGGGCCCCACAAAATATTGTGAGTGTAGAAAAATTTATTGTATGATATTAAAGGATAAAACGAAAACCCGAATAATATATCATTTTACCGCGGGACTTGGATGCTCAAGAGAGCGTAACTACTCTCCAAGATGTACACAAATATATAGAACTGGACATATGCAATTTTGTCTACCTAAATGATGTAATATATTGTGATTGTTGTTTAGAAAAAAATGTTAATGTAATTTTAAAAATAAACAAGACGTTAAAGATTATAATTCATCTATCGTTAATATAGGGGGAGGTTTTTTTTTTTTTTTTGGATAGAATATCCAAGCGCAGTTTGCTCTCGAAAAAGAAAAAGAATACGTAGTAGTTGTTTAATATTGATTATTTTTGTTATTCTTATATTTTTTTTTGATAAACCACGAGTATATTTTATGAAAGATAATTTTATTCGGAATGAATTCAGAATTAAAGTTTTAAATTTCTCCTAAAAATAATACTGACACCTTCAGAAATCTATCCAGTTTTTTCTGCACTTAAACTCTGCCGGAATTTTTCTTCTTCCGGTTTTGCATACTGTTGTTCATCCTTCGGTGTGACTTCCTCTGGCATATTGTTGTGTTCGTTTGGGCTGTTGATTGGTAGTGCCACTATTCTTCAGACGAAATCCGTTCTATCCTGGGAGACAAGTGTCCATCAACCTTAGGCATCAGTGAGGGGGCAAATTGTCTTAAGGAGACACGTTCTGTGGGCTCGGATTTAATTCCTCTGATACTGCATATATTCATCTTTTCATTCTGTCTGTTTCATCATTCTGCCACTGACAAGTAAGTCTGTTTTTAATATTTTTAATTACACAGTAATAATTATGATCATCTACCTCCTCTGCTTTATACATGGGTTCAAATCTATTAGTGATATAATATCACCCACTGTCTTCAATAACAATAATATTCTCCCATAATATAATAATAATAGTTTTGTCATATTAGTTTAAATTTATAATAGCACTATACATATGAAAAATTACATTTTTTTTAAGTTACAGTGCTTATCTTTTGTGGTTCAAAGCACCGACGGATAAATAAGAGCATACAGACTCATAAAGTCAGCAGACGTCAGATCAGATGACCCACAAAAGAAACATCCCCAATAACCATTCATGGCGCCAGAAAAGTACTGTATTGTTTTTGTACCCAAAAAAAAAAAAAAAAAACGGTTCTGTATGATTTTTTTTTTTTTTTTTTTATAAAAAAAATAAATTGGTTGCATTTTTCTGCAAACCTAAAAAATACAAAATGTGTGGAGCAAATTGAAAATGTAGTATTTTAAGACGGCATTGATACTAAAAAGTATGTAAAAAGAAAAAAAAAGCAACTGAAAATTTTTCATGCGTTATTTTGAAGGGTTTAGAATTTTTTTTTCTCATGTTGTAGACATATTTTATGTGAGGCTGATATCTATTAAAAAAATAAAAAAAACAAAAAAAATATTATATAAAAATTGAAGGGTCACTCAGAGAAGAAAATAATTCTCTTACAACATGAGAAAATATTTTTTCAAATTTGAATTCAGCTAAAATGTTTTTTTTTTTTTTTTTGTAATAAGCTAAAAAGTTTTCAACCTATTTTGGAGTTGACTTTTTTACTCAAATATTTTTGATATTTTAAAATTTTAATATATTTGATTTTTTTTTCAAATGAATTTTTTAGGTGATATGGAGAAAATATTTAATCAAGTTGTTGATGTCTTAAATTTTTATATATATGTTAGGGACTGAAAATTAATATTGGAATAATTGATATTTTTAAATAGATTATACTTATAATCTTTTTTTTATTATTAATTTTGTTATCGTTGAATCAAAATTAAATCAACGGTTAAAGTAATATCAAATGAGAGCTATTGATTTGTTTTTTTTGTTTTTTGAAATAACTATTGATTTAATTTTGATCCAATAATAATAAGATTGATAGTAAAAAATAATAAGAAAAAAAGATAGTAAGTATAACTTATTCCAAATAAAATTACTATGTTTAGGTAATTTTTTTATCTTCTCTCCTCCACAATATTTTTTTTTTCTATTCTTCTAATTTTGTGAATGAAAAAGAAGGTAAAAAAAAATGATAATTTAGAGAAAAATGACATAAAGTTGTGACTTTTGAAAATACAATATTTTCCCCTAAAACAAAAACTTTGAGGAGTTAATTGAAAAAATTTAACTTCTAGTGCTCACAAAAAGAGAACATTCAAAAAATAACATTAGAATATATTTCTTTTTAGTATAATTCTTTTTTTTTAATTGTTTTGATGAAAATCCTATTGGAGTTTTGTTTTCCGTATGTTGAAACAAACGATTTTAATTTGATAAATTCAATTTGATTTGAAATTTTAAAACAAATCTTGTTAACTGCACAAAAAGAAAGCACACAAATTCCATCTTAAGCAAATTTACTCAAGCAACAGTTTCATTAAATTACTTAATTATAAAGATATGTTATTTTACTTATCATATTTATTTACATATTTTTATCTACCACTCTAAAAGATTATTATATCAGAATCATAATTAATATTTATTTATGTCTCCCTCATTAGATTCTGATTTAACGGTAATGAAAAGTGGTAGACAAAAGTAGACAAAAAATAAATAAATAGAATAACTTATCTCTAATTACAATTAGACTAAAACAGATGCACAAAATATAATTATGTTTTTACAAATTTTAAATATTTTTTGAAAAATAATTTTTTAAAGAAACTATACAAAGATTAAGACACACTTCAATATGCATTAATATAAATTTTTATATAATCAACATGTTTAAATTTATGATTAATTTAACAATGAATTAAATACGTATATGTGTTGTAAATATCATTTCTTTTAAAAAAAACTTTGCAGAATGCAGGGTGGCACAGAATGGTGCACTGTATGAAGTGACTGGATGGGCAGATACGTCCTGTCCTTCAAATCTTAAGGCCCCTGTACTGCACTGCAATGTTGTCACAGTAAAAATTAAAGTTTTTTTTTTGTTTTTTGAAAACAGATATTAAAATTTCACATGATTCTATTTACATGAATCTTATTAAAATTTATAACATTTGTAAAATGTGTGACAAATATAAAATTTTTACATAACCAGTCACACCTAAAATTTTATCATTAAAATCTGGAAAAAATATTTATTTTTTTAAATGACCTAATTTGTGTTATTTTATTCTCATAAAAAAATAAGACTCACATTTTTATTTTTTGATTACTTTTTCTCATATAATTTATTTTTTCTTCTATTTTAAATGATATAACTTTACATATTTTAAAATAATTCATATTTTTCTATTAAAATATTATTGTTGTTGTTTAGGTTACGTAAATCCGAATTCTTTCTCAAGTCCCATTCGTTCTCTTTGCCATTTGTCCACTAGATTCAGCTAGCACACCACTAGCATTCAAGTTTTCAAGGCACACTCTGTCAGAAAACTGACCTAAGAAAAAAAGTTAACCTTACCCTTCCCATTTGGGGGTCTTTCTTCTTATCCACTTTAATTTGAGATTTCTGCTTTTGGTGTTATACATTAATTCTGGGTTTAAGGTAGGGTTTAAGAAAAAGCTAAGTAGGCAACAGAGTTTCTATTTTATTGTTATTATTATGGGAGATGTGTTTTTCATTTTAAATAACATAAAGTTATGTCATTTTAAATGACATAAAATTATGTTATTTTAAGAGAGATAGACACAAAAAAATATTTTTTTATTTAAAATTTAAATTAAAAAACAAAACTACTGCTTTTTCTCTCATGATATTCATTCTGTGTCTATCTCTCTCTTAAAATGACATAACTTATTTCATTTAAAATGACAAACAACAAACTCTATTATTATTTATTATTAAGAGAAGAAAAAGAAAAGAGCAATTTCTATCAAATAATGGTAACTTACGGAATTAAGCATATAAAGTAAGGGAAATATTTGTCTTCTTTAGTTGGAGATAACTATCTCCTGTTCTACACTCATCGAATTTTGTGCCAGTTTTTTTTTTTTTTTTTTTAAATTGTGGACCTCACATATTTATCTCACATACATGAGAGAACTATCTCAAACAGCATGAGATTAGTAACTCCCATCAAGTAATAACATGTATTTGACTCTTTTTAATATTATTTTTAAAAAAAATTTAAAATCTTAATTCCGAAAAATATTTCAAATCGAACTAATTGCACAACGAACTAATGAATTAAAATATTTCAAAGATAAAAGAAGAGACAAGGGAAAAGACGTGGTCTTTCACTCTTTCTCATATATACACAGATCCCTATGGAATGAAGTGGATGCTCTCAGCATTGCTTGTTGGTAACTCATTCTTCTTGCTTAGTTTAAAGAGACCAATTTTGTTGTGAGATTGCATAGATTGCATAGAACGAAGAGTTTTTGGTTGGTGTGAGAAAAAAATTTGCTGTAGCTAAACAACAAAAACCAAGTCTTCATATGCAGTTGGCAAAGAGATTTTTTTGATATGATTTGTTTATATGCCACCCAATGATTGTCTTGCCTTGCTGCGAGAGATACTTGTAGCAAAGTTCAAACCTTTTTTAAGTTATAAGGAAGATGAAGTCCATGAATGATAGCAACACTGATGATGAGAACAATCATAACTGGTTGGGGTTCTCTCTCTCACCCCACATGAAAATGGATGTCACTTCTGGTCCTCTCCATCATCATCATAACTACTATCATCAGCCCCATCCTTCTACAGCTTCAAACTCCGTTCCCACAAGCTTCTATCTGTCACCTTCACACCTCAACACCTCTGAAATCTGTTATGGTGTTGGGGAAAACAGTACCTTTCATTCATCTTTGGCTATGATGCCACTCAAGTCTGATGGTTCACTTTGTATAATGGAAGCTCTCAGCAGATCACAAACCCAAGGTTGGTCTTTTTTTTTTTTTTTTGATTCATTTTCTTCTGAAACTGTTACTTCTTCAATTTATTTTTTTCTTTTCATTTTTTGGCCTTGTTTCCTATTGAAGTGATGATGCCTACTTCGTCTCCAAAACTAGAGGACTTTCTTGGTGGTGCAACAATGGGAACTCAAGAATATGGAGGCCATGAAAGAGAAGCAATGGCTCTTAGCCTAGACAGCATCTACTATAACCAAAATGCTGAACCTCAAACCAACCGAGACCATTCTTCATTGGACCTTCTTTCTGACCCTTTTAGACAACAACAACAAGGCCATGTCACGGTCCAATCCCATCCATATTATTCAGCACTTCCTTGCCATGGGATTTATCAAGCACCATTGGAGGAAGAAAATAAGGAACCCCACGACACAGTTTGCAGCTCCCAAATGCCTCAAGTGGCAGAGGTAAACACTGCTTGCTTCAAAAACTTGATGGCCCCAAGAGATTATTCTTCAACTCATGAGACTCTTGAGCAGCATCAAGTGAATACTAGTGCTTCTGTGCCTGTCGGTGTTAGCACAGTAGGTGTTGGAGATTTGCAATCGTTAAGCTTGTCCATGAGCCCTGGTTCTCAATCAAGCTGTGTCACGGTTCCAAGGCAGATCTCACCTTCAGGAACTGATTCTGTGACCATGGAAGGCAAAAAGAGAGGTGCTGCTAAGCTTGGCCAGAAGCAAACTGTGCATAGGAAATCCATTGACACATTCGGACAGAGAACTTCACAGTATAGAGGCGTGACAAGGTTAGTTTTCACCCCTTGACTAACCTTTAATGTTCATTACTTAATCTCCCTTTTAGAATTTTTTTAGTTTATTTTAGTTAAATTTTTGGTTTTTCTACTTTTTGAGCTTCATTGTGTTGTTCACTTTTATATTTTAAGTAAATGTTAATTCTTGTAACTATTGTTTGTTGTTGTCTATCACAGGCATAGATGGACTGGTAGATATGAAGCGCATTTGTGGGATAATAGTTGCAAGAAGGAAGGGCAAACCAGGAAAGGACGACAAGGTTTGTGAGCAAAAACTGGAAGTCTTTGACCATTTGACATTTTACTTGTTTCGAAGTATTCTGAGTTATGTCCACTAACTGTCTTCTGTCGTATGTTCACATTGTGGATGACCGAATCAACATAACGTTGCATGTCGCAGTTTATTTGGGTAAGTACTAAGTCCTTCCACAAAGGCTTGCATTTTCAACCCTCTTGTTATTGCTAATTGATAAAGTGGTTTATTTTTGTTTGTGAACTTAAGGTGGTTATGATATGGAAGAGAAAGCTGCAAGAGCGTATGATCTTGCGGCTCTCAAGTATTGGGGATCTTCAACGCATATAAACTCCCCGGTATGTTTCAATGCCAAGGCATTTCTTATTAGAAAACTTTGTGCTTCTTGGAGTCTCATTCTCTCTCTCCTCTTTGGCAGGTAGAAAATTACCAAACTGAACTTGAAGAAATGAAAAGCATGAGCAGGCAGGAATATGTGGCTCACTTGAGAAGGTAAAGATACTGATTAGTTGGTTACTATTATGCTTAAATGATGATGAATTGATGATAAAGTTTCTTAATTGTTTTTGCAGAAAGAGCAGTGGGTTTTCAAGAGGTGCCTCAATGTACAGAGGGGTGACCAGGTTCATTTGGTTTCCTTGCCCCTTTTTCTCTGTACTGAATTAGAAGCTCTTGGATTAATTAGAGAGCTAAATCCACTTTTCAATGACATGCAGGCACCACCAACATGGCAGATGGCAAGCAAGGATAGGCAGAGTTGCTGGAAACAAGGATCTTTATCTTGGGACATTCAGTAAGTTCTTCCAAAAAGTTTTTAATACCTCGTACTTGTTTCTGTACTGAATCTTTTACAGAAGTAGTGGGATTTTAGGATTCTAATTATGATCCTGAAACGCTAATTAATGTATATATTAAGAGGTAGCGTGCTTAAAGTAGTTTTTTCTTAGGATTTGGTTATTATGGTAGTGACTGGTAATGCTTTTTATAAGACTGGACCATATCCTACTTTGGACCCCAACAAGTCACTTTTTATAAGGCTGTTCTCTCATATAATTGTCATGGAGAAGAAAAAAGGGGTATCCTATTATGGCCTCATGAAAGTTCAAAAATGATTTTTTATTTTATTTTATTTTATTTTTGGTAGTTGAATTAGTTGAATTAAATTCAGGTACTCAAGAGGAAGCAGCTGAAGCATATGACATAGCAGCAATCAAATTTCGAGGGGTGAATGCTGTCACTAACTTTGACATGTCTAGATATGATGTTGAAAGAATCATGGCCAGCAATACCTTACTTGCTGGAGAGCTAGCTAGAAGAAACAATAATAAGGAAAGTAAACCAAGAACTGTGGAGGCCATAGATTATAATAATATTGTAAACAGGGAAGAAGTTGAAGCTGTAAACAACAATAATGAAAATGGTTCAACAGACTATACGATGGCTTTGTATCAGTCTCAGCAGCAGCAACAGTCAAATAGCTACGACGACCAAAAAACAATAAAGTGTGGAAATTATAGAAACTCTGGTTTCTCTATGGCCCTACAAGATCTTGTTGGGATTGATTCAGTAGGATCTAGCCAGACAATGCTAGATAATGACACTGTCAAGATAGGGACTCATTTTTCAAACCCGTCCTCGCTGGTGACCAGTTTAAGCAGCTCCAGAGAATGCAGCCCTGATAAAACGGGTCCCACACTGCTCTTTCCAATGGGATCAAAGATCGTTAGCCCCATTTCTACCAGTGTTACCTCTTGGTTTCCCTCAGAAGCAACTCAACTGAGGCCAGCTACTACTACTATATCAATGTCACACTTGCCACTTTTTGCGGCTTGGAACGATACCTAGAGATGGATGGATAATACCTATCATGTGTTGGAGTTTTGCATGTGTAAGGGAGGGGAGAGAAAAAGGCAAAGAGATAGTTGTTAATGGGTGGGCAGAAATATGGGTTTTTAAAGTAAACATTCAGAATGTGTATTTTGCTAAAAACACTAGTGCGGGAATTTGGGGGATAAATTAATTGTATGAGGTTGGGGTAAGGGCCTAATGGGGCCATGTTATATGTCATCTTTTCTTGCATCCTTGTGGAACAAGAGCTTTCCTACCATGGCCTTTTGGCTCTATTACTGTGTGTGCTAATGGGAGGGAAAGTATTAGTTAAGAAGAGGACTAATGATTAAACTAATGAAATGATGTTTGACAATATGGAAGTGGCCCTTTGCATTATTGAATTTGCTTTTTTTTTTGGAGTTGCACCTTTTCTAAGTCCAGCTAAGTACAAAACCAACTCGATGTTTGGCAATAATGCAAAGAGGTTGAGCTTCCTTTTGATCACATTATCTCGTTTTATTGCCATTATGTTCCTCAATCTGAAAAAAACATCATTATTGCATAAAACATTCATCTTGAGCTTTCTTCAAAGCCAACAGTGCTCCACTCCTCGTCATTCAAAAAGAAAAGGGGTTGTCGTAGATATTATTGCATAAAGTTTCTGGCTGCCCCATTGTCATAATTAGTAGGGGACACATCCAATTTAACTTCCAAGAAAAAGAAAAAAAAACCATTATGTGGTTAAAAATTTCTGTAACTTTTTTCATTCCTTGACAAATCTAAATTATAAAGAGACATTTTGTGACGTAAAAGCGATTTCGTGTCTTGGTGTGGATGATTTAGGCCCTTTACATATTTAGAGTTCATCTTGTTAATTGTTATCGAGTGCTTTCTCACGTGTGTGTCCCTCGTGTTCAAGTATTTGTTCTCGATTGCAATCTTGATTAATCTTGACCGTAACATAGGACGACAACGAGGAATCACTGCCGGTAAAGCTGGAAATAGTTCCGAACTGATGTCGGGAATAGCTGTTTTTCTGCATGGGATAGTAACATGTTAATAATCAAAATTGCTCATAGTAATGTACGAGTTTTTTTTTTGGTAACTATGCATGAGTTATTTAACTAGAGATGAAAAGGACAGGTTCTAGCGATTGATCAATAATGGTGGGTGGATAAGTCACAAGCTTTGAGTAATTCAACTATTTTCCTAATGGTTATTATCCTAATGGCTTCCTCCCCTTCGGTTTGGTGATTTCATAAGGCACTATACATATGTAGGGATTTGAATTCTTTCTGAATAACAAAATATTGTCCCTTTTATGGCACTAGGATTTGTCTAGTTGTGAGATTTAGATAAGTTGTGTTATGTATTCAATTCCCATCATTGTTTCCAAAAATTAAAATATTGTCCTATACATAATTTTTATTAGGTGAAAATCCTTCATAATTTTATTATAGGAAAAACTTCAAAAGAACCTTGTAACTTTTCTCATTATCATTTATTCCTCCCTAAAATTTTGAATCATTTATCCCCTGACTTCAATTTTTTTTTTTTTATCATTATCCCCTAAGTGAAGGGGGTAAGTGATAAAGAAATTTTAAGTCGGTAGATAGGTGATATTTTTTTTTTTTTTAAATAAGGGTATAAATGATTCAAAATTCTTGTGAACCGGTAATTGATAATTGAGAAAATTGATAGGTTTTTTTTTTTAAGTTTTCCCTTGATTATTTTTGGAAAAAGAGTGTCTCTCTCTCCGATATCAGCCATTGAGGGATCCAAATCTTATAGCGTATGAATAATTCTTTTAATTTAACGGGTTTGTTCAAATACATGGTGTAAGATTACTTGTTCAGGGGGGCAAATGAGAAGATGACAATTTCTTCATTTTTCTTCTTTTATTTTTAGCCAAAGTAAATTATGCGGTATATAAAAGAAGCCTTTGTTTTGACAAAGGAAAAGCGAGCATATCTAAAAGTGAAACACAACAAGAAATATGCAAGACAAACGAAAGGGTTAACTATTATAAGATTGATGGTCAAAAAGCTAGCGAGTCTCGTGGAAAAAATAGGAAAGTAAAAGATGCACATCACTCTTTTAACAGAAAATAAAGTAGGATCCATTTCAATTGTATGGTTTTTGTTTCTATCCATGGAGATTAGTCAACAAATATGATTACAAATCTTATTGCGGACATCCTAAGCATAAAAAGTTCGCAAAGGACAGCTTTCCAAAAGCACTTGCGCTTGAGCTGGATCCTAGTGCTAATTTATCATAAGTTGAAAACTTGGTGAAGAAAATTCCAAAATTATGTAAGTGTGTCGTTGCATTGAAGACATGAAAGCACTTGACGTTAGGATACGAAATTTTACAATGTGGTAGGTGAATTCAACGTCAATATAATTTAGGTAAGAAAAATAAGGCACCTGAACTTAGTGAGATAGCCTAGTTTGGGAGAGCGATTGTAATAGTCCCGGCGCAGCTACTCCTGTTGTTGAGGAGTTGTCATTTGGAGAAGAAAATGAAATTTCTTTTTTCTCTGTACAAGCAAGTCAAAAAATACTCAATTTTCATTAACTTGGAGCACTGAATCATAGATAAGCTTGAATCATATTAAATATTTTTTTAGGAAAAAATATTTCAATGGTTCTGGACCACTAAAATTCGGTGGTTCCCCCTTTAAAAAATGTAGGACATAAATAAAAATATAAACGAAAGAAATGAGGAAAGTGAAAACAAATTTTTCATATTCCAAAAGGGAACCACCGAATTTCATGCTCCTAGAGCACTGAAATTCTTTTCTAAATTAGAGGAGACACCCCAATCAAGGTCAGAAAAACCATCAACCTCATTGAAGACTTAAAGTAAAATTACTTAATACCTATCAAAGAGAGGCAATTAAGAATCGAACCCAAGTTATGAATAGCGTTCTCGGTTAAACATAGTTTTTGTGTCAACAGTGTAGTGAATAGCGATATGTATACACATATACTGTGTTTTGATGTGTCATTATTGTGGAAAGGTCCCCACACACACAAGCATGCTGCATCCATTGTAACAGAGATGGTCCCAAAAATATGTTGTAATATCTAGCAACTTGTTTCAAACTCAAAATCAAGTGTCATATTTCTTCAGTAATAGGACCTCGTGAATGTTTTGTGCTGTTAATGAGAGAGGGAATAAAGGGTGTCCCCTATTGAGTAGCCAAGTTTCGTCCAGGGAGGCCTTTGATTACAACCAAATCTTCTCATTTCAGTTTGGTCCCGTCCTTCTCAATTGTTATCAGGTGCATCTCTGGAAATGACAGCACAAAATGGAATATAGCTTTCTCTATGATATTAGGGCTTGGACCATTCCTTATAGTTTGTTCCAGAAGAAACATTTATCAAATTGAAATTAAATTAAGTTTATATATACTTCCAATTAATAAAGCTAGTTTCAGTCTATGATATTTACCTAAAGAAACTAATATTTTCCTGAAGGATTTTGTCATCGTGTATTTTTTAAGTGTAAATTAAGAAATGAAAAAAAATCATTAAATAAAAGTACAAGTATTTATTATATTAATAGTATTAAAAATATTTGATATTTTTTAAATAATTGAGATAAACTTTTTAATCTTTTTTTTTTTTTTTTGGGTCATGTTAACCCTCTAGAAGCAACTCCTAATTAGTCTACTCCCAATACATTATAAAAGCATAATTATGCACTATTACAGTAAAAAAATTAAAATTGCACCATAATCAATATTTATAACTTTTAATTTAATAATAAGAACTTGATCTTACAAATAATATCAAAACGAGAATGAAGGTTCCAAGGCAGGGAGATTACTGATTTTATGAAAGGCAAATAATCACCACCCTTCGACTTTGTGCAAACAGGCACACAAAAAATGCTTGACAATCAGTACGTCAATGCATCATATGTACTCTCGGACCGTACATTAGTTGTGTTATACACAAATAATTTTTGTGAAAGAAGTTGCGTGGGAAGATACATATATAGCTTCATTGCAAATAATAATTATATCAATAAAGATTGATTAAATTCATCTAAAAAATAAAGCAATAGTTGTATATCAAATAGTAGCAGAATTTATTTAAATTTATCTCCGTGATCAACACAAATAAAATTAAAATACACCAAATTAAGTAAACTTTGCACAAACAATTAATATAAAGAACCTTAAGTGCCAAGAATTCCATGAAAAGCTAGTCAATGTCATCCTCCTCCTCTGTTGAACCAAGAGCCAAGAAGCTCGTATGTGATCAAGCATAATCAAGAAGTAGTAGTAGTTGGGGTTGTTATCCGTTTTTATTCATCTCTCTCCATTGATTCAATTGATTTTGTGCATTTCAATCAAGCTTCTTCGACATAGAGTCCCGAATAGAGGAACACCAGATTGGAGAACATGTGGTCGCACATTTGGAATGTTGCTCGCAAGAAATAGGATCCAACATTGTTCTCTTTTTTTTTCATTGCCAAGAATTGATCTTGCCTTTTCTGGCGAGCGAGCGACTTCCAAATATGCCAGCAAATGTTTTCCAATATGGTATTCCTCTCCTGAGGACTCCTTGATGTGAACCCGAATCAGATTTTCATGAATAACCAAATCTTTTTTTCTTTTCTTTTGTTATTGATGTATGCTTTTTAATGAGTCTTGTTAAATATCAATCAGAATTTAAAGTCCAAAACTAAAGAAAGATTTATAGATAAAAATAAAGTTTTTGTTTTGATTTTTTTTTATTCTTAAAACTGTTTTGTAGAATAATTACGGAAACAAGTATTTTTTTTTTTGAGAAAGTTAAAAATAAAAATAGAAAGTAAAAATAACTCAGAAATATTTTCTAAATTTAATTTTAGAAACAAAAAAAAAGTTACAATTTTTTAATTTTTTTAATAAAACAGATCTTATTAAACCAGTTTTTATTTTTATTTTATTCTGAAAACTATTTTTAAAAACAGTTATAAAAAATAGCCATAGTTATCTCTTAAAACTGAGAAATGCTTCTAAAGATAAAGATAAAGATAGAGATAGAGATAGAGATAAGAATAATAATCTTCCAAAAAGAAGGGAAGTTTCTAAAGGTAAAGATAACTTATTACAACTTGATAAACTTATTATTTATAAGTGCATGCTCAAAACACATCACATATCATAGCTTTCAAAACAATCCAATTTTTTTGAAAACGTAATCATACTTAACGGGCCATAAATTTGATTTAGATCAAATTTCTTGAACCAGCTCATTGAATACCTCCTTTAATTATTTTTTTTTGCTTAAGTTCTAGAATCATAACCAACTTGGGCTTGAATTAGATCCCTCAATATTGTGCCCTAATTTGTATTATTCTCAGTTTCTCACCCTCTTGAATATGCTTTGTTCTCAAATCCTCGTCATCTCAGCTCGAAAGTAATTTGTAAGTAATTTTATTGGACAAATAATTTTATACAAACAAAAAATATAAAAGTGTATTAAACTTTATGTCTTTTTTCTTTGCGTTGGAATCAAATAATATCACCAAGCCATCGTTTAAAAAAAAAAACAAGAGCTTAATTTATTGGACAAAAGCTCAAAAAATATAATATACTTTTCTTAATTAATACTTAAAATTTACGGGACTAAAAAACAAAAGCCCAAACAAGAGCTTAACAATTTTTACTCAAAAAATTAACATCATTAAATAATTGTCTAGTAACTCAATAAGAATATATACTAATTTTATAGATAATTTATTAATAAATAACCACAGCCAATAAACGAATGGAATTTATAATATATTTATGGAAAAGTATTTTTTATTTTAAATGAGACTATTTTGTATTAATTTAAATAAAATGACGTCATTTTAGTACATAAATAATGATTTTTTATCTTCTCTTGATTTGACCCTTGTTTCAGCGTGCTCGTTCTATTTCCATATTAGTCTATATATATACCACGTTTCTTCTTATTGCTTAAAGTTAATCAATACTTCCATAGTTAATTCTTACAAAATTAATTCTTCAATATATTAACATTAAATGCTAATCAAGTTTCAAGTTAATAACTTATAATAAGCTTTCTTTAACAGTTTAAGCTTAACTTTATCCAGTTGCAAATGATAGAAGATTGACGTAGTTTCAAATAAAAGAAAAATCTGAGAAATTATTAAAGAAAGGAAGATCATCACGAGAACTTTTTTTCAAAAGTTTAGAATTTGATAGTTACATACATATCACCGTTACATACACAATTTAGTTATAAATTTGGGTGAAATACTAAGAAAAGGGCTGATCTGCAAATTTTTATGTATTTGATATGTTAATCAATTTAATTTTGGATTTGAGCCTTTCCATCATCTTCAAAAGCTACGATTCTCAAAATCGAATTCATTGCTCAATGCATTGGTCAAATCTTAAAATATAGCTTAAACATTGAGAAGCTTAGATAATGTTCTCGATGGGCCTAAGGAATAGATCTTCTCACGTAAAAAAGTTGTGGTCATGTTATTTGATTACAATCACTAATTTAAAAATTATACAATTTTCTCTCTCTTATCTTATAATCAATGAGTGATTGTGATCAAATCACATGATCACTTTTTCACATGAGAAAATCCACTCCCGTTGGTCATTAACATTTGTTGAAGCTTTATTTCATCGGTTAACATGATGCGTTAGTTCAGTGAGTTAATCCAGGACTTTGATAATTCCGTTGGACTTGTAAAAAGTAGCCCCAAAATTACAAAAAAAATAAATAAAAAAAACATTTTTGATTTAATGGGCTTATTACAACCTAAAGAAAACCCACCTGGACTACAAACAACCCAGGCCATAAAACCTTACTACATGGATCCACAGGCCATTTTACCCATATGGTTTAACGTTTACAAACATTTCCAAATTCAACAGTCTTAAAAAAAATTTGCAATAATACTTATGTATGACCTATCAATTAAATAAAACATCAAAAGTCGAACTCATTAGTATTGAATTCTACTAATTGAACCAACCCAAGAAATTTAATAACTCAATGTCTCATGTTCCGAGATAAATTTTCATTCAAGTAATTAGGATTTAGGAGTGGATTTTCTAACATTAAAATTTCACGTTTTATTTGCATTAAATAAGTGAGTTCCAATTAAAATATATAGATAGAAATAAATATATTTTTTACATGATCACGTCGTATGAAATTTTAGCACCAACAATTTGATTTAGTTTGACTCACATAACTACATGAAAACAAACAATTATAAGAATAGTATTATGGTCTTCAAGTAGGATTACAAAATACTAGCATGGGCAATTGCTCTCTATTGCTCATTTATCAAACGGTATAGTAATATTGATATGTAAAAAGATAAACGTATTAATCCTAAGGGGCGGTACAATAATTGATAAGCGAGCTGTGTTCAATAAGCGGATTGTCGAGATTGAAATGTTTCTGATTCGATTTCTAGATGAAATAATTTGAGGCCAGTGGCAAAAAATTTAATGTTTTACGCCACGAAAGGGATAAATAAATAAACTTATTTCCATCTTGATCCATTATTTAGTTAGGCCTAACTTTTTTCATTTATATTGTGTGGTGCCATCAGCTTATATGGGTCTCAACTTATCTACCTTTCCAATTCGGCCAAAGGAATGTTAGCCACAACTGAACTAAGAAGCAAAAGGATATTTCATATATCCTAATTCCAAATAATTGGCATAGTTAATTAGAATTTGAATTGTGACCATATATGATCATATGTTATTTATTTTTAATATTTATTTGGTATATTAGTGTACCATGTGTTTGTAATGATTTCTATCATTCAACTGCTAGTGTGATTTCCGATCTCAGTTCAACGTAAGGATCACTTCTCTTAAGGGATCTCTATTTCAAACAGTTTCAAAATTATCAAAAATATGAATGTGAAAAATGTTGAAGATAAGAGCAACAAATAAAAGCGAGTCAATGAAGGTATGTAAAGAAAACAATCGAAGAAAGCATCAAAGAACTTGAATATAAAGATGCTGAAAATGAAACTTACAACATAAATAAATGGAAAGAAACTTGCAAAAACAAAACAACAAAAACGGAAAAGCTGGAAAGGTAAGCAATTGAAGATAAAGCACTTAAGGGACTTTTTTTTTTCTTCCCCCTGTTAATGTAGGAGTGAGGTGTATTAAGTGTCAAGCCCTGAACTAAGAGCCCACACGCTCAATTTAAAAAAAAAATTGCAGGTAACTGTCAAATGGATTCTCTATTGACAATTGCCCCATGCTGTGGAAGATGCAAGTAATAGACCTAATTAAGGCTTCATTTCTTTCTGTGCATAACAGTTACAGTTTTCTAGCGCTATGTGTACCACTCCTAGCTCTATATATCATGCCCTAAGTCTCCTGGTAACTTCCAACTCTTCATGTGTGCAATTCCCTTGACTCTTTTGTCCCCATATACCAGCTTGCTCAATAATACATCCTACCACTTAATTCCATCAACATCCTATGCCTTTGTTGATTGGTGATCTTGGCCTTGCTTCGTGCTACCTCACAAAAGGTGTTAGGGGATATCACATCCTTTTATACTTATTGTGGGGACGCCACATTTCCTTCGCATGCTTATATAAATACTAAAATTAAAATTAAGAAAAAAGTGTCACAAAGAAAACTCACAATTCAACATGATCCAGCTTAATATGTCTATAATTAAGGATAAAAAGAGTTGAATTTAATATTAAAACAAGATTAAATGATAATGTCTATGAACATTTTCATTCTCCTCTATTCCACGTCTACCTAGCTAACCATTATATATACATGGAATACAATCTCTCTCCCATTCTTATTCCTTTATCTATACAATTTTCAATACAAGTATTTATAACCCACAAGTATTTGTTTAATAAATTCCTTATGGCTTTCCTAATTTCATATTGTTCTGGATGGCCCAAGTACTGGAGTGGCCCAACTACTCAGGCCCAACCCTCAGCTGGCCCAATTACTCAAGCCCAGCCCTCAGCCTTGTCCCGCGTCAGCCCTTAGGGCTGACATGAACTCCCTCAACCCCCAACGTAGCAGCAGGCCCAAGGCATACACCAAAATGTCCCATCTTGGAACGCTAACCATCGAAGGCGACTACGACAGACACCGCAAAGGGAAACTCCCCCTTTGCCCGGTGTTGACACCGCCAGAATACAGAGGGCGCAGCGCTGCCACAATGACAACGCCAGCACGCCTAACACTGCATCAAGGGAGTAAATCTCAAGGAAAGTTGACCTCCCCCTCACCAACCCACACCATTTCCCCTATAAATAGCCCCCATGGGCACACCTTACAGGTATCTTTTATGTACTGTTGTTATGCCCATTTACTTCCAAGTCATACTCTTGTTATTTATCTGCCATTAATATCAGCTTGCTACCTCTTGAAACTATACCTTCTAGCCTGGTCTTTACCTCAGCTAGTGGTATAATCCATATAATAACATTACCCTCAAGGGTACATAGTGGGCTCACAGAACCTTACGGTACATTGGCGCCGTCTGTGGGAAACTATAAACTTCTATTCCCATTCTCCTACCAAAGATCCGCAAGACGTGTATTACGTTTTGGTAACAAACATGGTTGTCACAACCAGAAGAGCAGAACAAACCAGGGTCGTCACTCCTGACGGTCATGTACAAACAATACATTCAAACTCCCCGCCGTCGATGCATTCATCCCTAGCCGAGAGACCCCCTGGCGAGATGCTCCAGCCAGTATTACAATCCGTCGGTCCACAAATGCAGGCAGTCGAACCCAGGATAGCACAGTTGAACTATCGCGCACCTATGCGTGAAATGCAAGGGGAAAACTTGGTACAAGACCAACCCCCGCCCCCAGGAGTTCATTTTGGAATGCCTTTCCACACTTTTGCCCCACCAGTCATTCCCGTCCCACGAGCCCATCGTCCACTACCAGCCCAAAGTCTACCAGTAGCCATGCACAACGATTACCGAGCACCGATGGTCACCCCGTTCCCTATGGGACCATACGCCTCTTTCCCTCAGCTTTACCCAACTGGTTTTCCTTTCCATGGTTACGCTGCCCAACCCCAGAATTCGGCCGTCCCGCTGCACCAAGTGTCCTATCAAAACCAGGGTCAACAACCGTATGTCGCCCAACAGCCTTTCAATCACGCCCCAGCCCTCTCCTACTCCATTGAAGCCCCTCAACCACAAGCGGACCGGCCCGCCCGAAACAACAACCTACGAGTCACGCCAGCTCATACGTCGGGGCGCAACAAACCCCTGACTGATATCCTCCGGTTAACTCCCATACCCCTTGGTTTTAAAGGGCCCTCCAATATCGCCACATATGTCGGAGATGCCGATCCTTTTGAATGGATCCAGAAATTTGAGGCAGCAATGACTCTCCATGGTGAAACCGACCTCCTCATGTGCAGGACCATCCCCACGCTACTTGGGGGGCGAGCTTTAACATGGTACACCACCCTACCGACTGGTAGTATCGCTTCATGGGACGAGTTGGCGAGCAAGTTTCAGTCTCACTTTGCAACCAGTCGCCCTGTGCCAAAATCTGTCCACTCTCTAGAAAAAATACGCCAACAGCAAGGCGAGTCCCTCAGGTCCTTTTTAGACTGCTTTGATAAGGAGGCCCTACAGGTGCAAGGCCTGGACCCAAAAGTACAGGTACATATACTTCTTTCGGGTTTGCGGCAGGGTGCGTTCGCGTACGAGCTCGCCCGCCATGAGATCAATGACCTGGAAGAAGTCAAGAAGGTGGCCCAGGAGTACATGCGAATCGAAGAGTACAAAGGAAGCCGAGTTGATGACGCCCACAGTCAAGAAAAGGCAGTCAGTAAACAGAAGAACCAAATGGAAGAAAGTAAAAAAGGAAGCAAACCTGCCAAATATTCAAACCGCCCCCTGGGCGCGACACATCAGGTCGTCAGACACACGCCGTCCTACAAACGGAGTATAAGGAAGAATCCAAAAGGACCCAGCAGCCTCAGAATCCGCCTAAAGAAAACATCATGTACTGCAAGTTCCATCGCAGCAACGGTCATAACACTGAGCAGTGCAGGCACCTCAAAGACGAAATTGATGAACTCATCAAAAGCGGAGCGCAGAGGCGCGGAGGAGACGACCCACGCCCTTCTGGAACAGGAAGGCGATATCGTGAGCGCAACAAATCGCCTGAAAGAAGGAGAACGAATCAATCTGGCTCCAGACCCTCCTACAACCGTGATAGGAGAGAAGATTCCCCCAGGAATCGCAGAGCGCAAGCAAGCCCAAACCGTAGAGTGAGGCGTGAAGAAGTAGACGAAGACTCAGCCGCGGTGAAGCACAGAGTGATAAACATGATTTCAGGCGGACTGAGCGGAGGAGGAGAGACTGCGAACGCCAGAAAGAAACACTTGAAGCAGTGTCTGGCGGTCGCTGGCAAAGTCATTAGCAAAGCAAAGAACAGCCCGGGTCCAACCAGGCCTCAAATTGTTTGGGACAGCAGCGATTTGGGCGATGTCCTCCCAGGACATGACGATCCACTCGTCATTCAAGCTATAATCGCCAACTTCGGCGTTAATCGCGTTTTTATTGACCACGGCAGCTCAGCCGACATTTTGTTTTTACCATGCTTTAAAGCGTTAGGGTTTACTGTTGATAGTTTAACTCCTGTTACAGGTGAACTCTCATGTTTCAATGCTACCACCACAAAGCCACTGGGAGTGATTACCTTGCGGCTTTCCCTTGGAACGCCACCCACCTCACGATCCGCAGACATCCAATTTTTGGTGCTCGACACCTCATCAGCTTACAACGCCATTCTTGGTAGAAGGATGTTTGCTGCCTTCGAGGCAAGCATCTCACACCCCCACTTGGTAATGAAGTTCGTCGCCAGGGACAACAAAGTCGCCACGGTGCGGGGAGACCAAACGATAGCCCGAAGCTGCTACAACATATCCTTGCGGCCAATGGCCAAAGCTAGTTTCAATGATGAAAGGGCGCCCAAGCAGAGGATGACCTCGCCAGCAGAAAGAAATCCAGGCGAGGAGACAAAGGAGCGTGACCAATGTTTTTTGGTAGGATTTGATGCCAGAGATGATCCGCGCGTGGAACATGACAGACCCAGGCTTGATGGGGCGTTGGAACATGTTGTATTAGGAGACGCGGATCATCAAACAACAACCATCGGGGCCACCATCGACCCCGAAATGAAATGCAAGTTAATCAAGTTGCTCAAGGATAACAAAGATTTGTTTGCATGGAAGCCTTCTGACATGCTGGGTATCAATCCAGACGTTTGCTGCCACCGTTTGTCGGTGGATCCCAAAGCCAAGCCAGTCGCCCAGAAAAAGAGGAAATTCGGTCCCGACCGCCTGAGGGTGATTGATGAAGAAGTCAAAAGGCTCCACGTCGCCGGGTTCAATAGGGAAATCAAGTACACAACTTGGTTATCCAACCCAGTATTGGTTAAAAAACCAAACGGCGCATGGAGAATGTGCGTTGACTACACCGACCTAAACAAAGTCTGTCCAAAGGATGCTTACCCTTTTCCTAGCATTGATCAGTTGGTCGACAACGCGTCCGGATTCAAAATGCTGTCATTCATGGACGCATATTCTGGTTATAATCAGATTCCACTTCTTTAAGAAGACCAAGACAAAACGG